TTGCGCGTCACCTCGGGCTGTCGTGGCCGTTGGCGCCTGCAGCCGAGGGTGAACTAGCGAAGGCGACGCTCGCGCGGGAGGTGAACGAGGTCCAGGAGGCACTCGGTGAGGACGGGGTCCTGCTCGGCATCTGGCCGCAGGACAAGTACTCCGAGGCGGCCAGGAGGTGCGAACGGGTGTTGGGGTCGTAAAACCAAGTATTTGACGACGGGCTCGAGTGCCAGACGGTCCGCAGCGCCCTGCGCAAGCTGGACAAGCCGCTTCGGCGCGTTTCTGGCTTGGCGGTGGGCGGTGGGGCGCCCCCGCTTCAGGACCCCGCCCCTTCTCGGATGCTCCTATGGGCGGAGAAACCCAAGACGGAAAAGGAGCGGGCTGTCGCCAAGGGCGGCGAGGACAAAGGCAAGGGCGCCGCCAAGGGCGGTAAGGGCAGGGGCAAGGGCAAATGCGCCGGCAATGGCGGCAAGGGCCAGGGCAGGGGCAGGCCAGACGCCGGAGTCCTGCGGCGCCCGGCCGCTACCAGCCGGGCCGCTGCGCCCGTGGCGCCCGGTCTAGTTGCCCCTGGGGCGGCTGGCGATGCCCCCGGCTGCGTCCGCCAGCGATTCCGCCGCGGCGGCTCTGGCCGCCATGGCGGTGGACCCGTATACGGCAGCCCAGGAGCATGGTATGAGGTGGTCTCCGTGACACGAACGGCACGGAGGGATTGATTTATTCGATGCATGTGACTGCATAGGGGAATGGGAGATCGCCTCGCGAGAGAGCCTTTTTGGATGGGGGTGCCCTGATTGTCCCTGTCTTTTCCCCCGTGGCGAGTCCTGTGGGGAGGGGCTCCCCCTCTGGGCCTCCTGGCGGCCATCGTCTCGGGGGAGGCGGCGACTCACCACTGCTATTTTGCGCCTCGGCGCGGCCCCAAAACGAGTCCGTATGCCTAAATGCACCAGCGATGGCGATTGGCGCCACCGCTGGTGCGGCCACCCAGCTGCGGCCGCTTTCTCTGTTGCCCCGTCCACGTTTGCGCTGCAGGGTGATGTGACGAGCACGCTCGGGGCTCGACAATCCGCTCCTTTCCTCCTGGCCGCCCTCCGGCTCGAACCCGGTCGGGGCCCCCTCTTTCCCTCTCCCCTCCCGTCCTTTCTCCCCCTCCCCCCGCCCCCCTTCCCTCCCTCTCTCCCCCTCTCATTGCCTGGACGAGCGCGTTCCACTACTCGCAAAGTAACTACTCGCAAATGGCCTGGATCCGCCGCGGGGGATCTACGAAAAACTACATCAGATCAGACAGGTGATTTCGGAAGTCTGCGAGTAGGCACTTTGCGAGTAGTGGAACGCGCTCGGTGATAGCCTCCCTCCCCTCCTCCGGGGGTCCAGGCCCTGCGCCGCCCCGAAGGCACTTCCAAAGTGCCTTCGGCGCGCGCGAGCGTGCGCGGCGCAGTCTGTTCGGCGCCGCCTTTGCGCGGCACCAGCGTTCAACGAGCAATTTTTGCGGCGGCAGCCGTGTTGCCAGGGTGTCCCGCTGCAGGGGTCGTTCGACCGTCCGCGCCAGGGCGCCCAGCTCTGCAAAAGAAAACGTTCTGCATCCAGGGTCGTGCCGGGGGCGGGCCCAGGGGTGCTTCTCGACCCCTCTTGCGGGCCCCCAAGTTGAAAGCCCGGAGGGCTCCTGGCACCATCCGATATTCCCCTCTCCATTCCCGTCCTCTTTCCCCCTTCCCCCGCCGCCCTTCCCTCCCGCTCTCCCCCTCTCCTTGCCTCCCTTCCCTCCTCCGGGGGTCCCATCCAGGGTCGTGCTGGGGGCGGGCCGGAGGTGCTTCTCGACCCCCCTTGCGGGCTGGGCCCCCAGGTGGAAAGGCCGGAGGGCGCCCGGCACCGTCCGATGGCCCGGTGGCGCCCTGCGGGCCGATGCGCCGGAAAGCGAGGCGAGGCGAGGAGCCGCACGCGAGCCCAGCCGCGTGGAGAAAAACAAAGACAAACGTTTGCGCGATCCCTGCAAGCAGAACTGCTTCAACACTTTCAACGCTGGGCTGCACGCGAGCCTAGCCACTGGGGCATTCGGTGGAGCCCCCGATGGGGCCACGAAGGCGTGTGTGGCGTGTGCCGAACTGGTCGTGCGCATGGGCGGGGAGCCGCATGCGACAGCCGCTGGGGCATGAGGTGGAGCTCCCTATAGGGCCACGAAAAGCGTGTGAGGCGTGCGCCGAAAGGGTCGTGCGTAGGGCAGGTGCGGGGGCGGGGAGGGGGGAGCGGGGGGAGAAGGGAGGAAGAGAGGAAAGGAAACGAAAGGCGTAGCGGAGGAGACGCGGGGTAGTATCTGTAAAGCGAGGGCATCGCAACAATATGGTTGGGAGCACAACAATCGTGCCTCGATGATGCAGGTGGCCTTCTCGGCGCCGCGCGAATTTCTTCCAAGGGCGATCTGGCTGAGGAGATTCATGCCGATGGAGGCTGAGAAGGTTCATACCGATGCAGTCCAGGTGAGTCGCTTGACCTAGACATCCCAGAGGCGGGTTCTTCAATGGGGGGGGCATCAGAACCTTCCCCGTCTATGCACACATGTCACCCAAACCCATAATCCCGCCAGCCCTCTGGGTGGAGGTGATCTGGAGCGGTTCCTCTTCGAACCCCTTCCTACCTTTCGGGGAGGGGCTTGTTCCTCCCCCTATCCCCTCCCCCTATTCTGGAGCGAAGTTTTAGAACTGAGTTGGGTAGAGTAGTATCTGTTCTTATCAGTGTATACTTCGCATAGCTTTGCTCAGCAGTAGAGCAGTCAAAGACAGGTGTGAAGAGCCTCTCGTATTAACATCGGGGCTCAAACTCTTTGAAAAAAGAGCGATCTCCGCTTCTGGACGGGGGGGAGGTGTCAGAGGGTCCTTTTTGGCACAAGGTGACTCCAATCTGGTAGAAGAACATGTAAGATGGCCTCCAAGATGGCCCCACATACCCCAAGATGTCTCCAGGTGGCTTCAAATTTGCACCCAGCAGGCCTCAAGACCGCCCAGTACTACTCCAAGTGGCCGCGGAGCCTCCCACTGATGCCACCCCAGACTCCAATATCCTTCCAACACCTGAGGAACACCAAAGATGCTGGTCTTCTCACACTTTCGCTTCCGATGGGCTTCTGAGCCTAAAGATGACTCCGCGTTGGCCCAAGAGAGCGCCAGGAGGGACCCGGGAAGGCTGCAAGATGGCCCCAAGACTGCTATAAGAGCGGATCACGTGGCGACTCTTCGAGCCCCAAGAGTGGGGGACCCTAATCCGCGCCGCCCCCCTCCTTGACTGATGGCCCCCAAGATAGTCTCGAATGCCCCGAAGGGGGCCGCCCCAAGGAATCACAAAGGCCTCCCGGAATGGCCCCAAGAAGGCCCCCTATCATGGCTGGAGTAGGCTGACGCGAGGCTCCCGGATCGGCAAGCCTGAGGACGCCACGCACGTGCCAAAGGGCCAACCGCTACCGAACTGATTGAGAGCAGCTTGAGTGAAGGCCTCTGTGAGTTTGTCTGGGCCACCGAGGTCCTTTTCGATCTTATCCTTCAGCGTACCTTTTGGCTTTCCTCCGCCCTTTGGCTGCTCTGTGGGCTCTGGCCCTGCGCGTGCGCGGAGCGGTGGCGGCACTCGGGGCCACGACGTGCCGCCCCCAGGGCCCCCCCCCTCTGTGAGTGGTGGTAACTCGCCATCGCTCGGACGTCCATTCCCTGTGTTTTGTTCGGTTTCGTGCGTGGTTTTTCGGCAAATGGTCAAGGATGCTCCTCGATGGTCCTCGCCGAGGAAAAAACGCACACGTCCGAGCGAGTCTGTGAGTGGTGGTGAGTGCGCGCGGGTCCGGCGGAGACTGGCCCTGGGGCCCAGGGAGGATGCCGCTCGCAGGGCCCCATGCCCAGTGGCAGTTGGCCACCGGCTCCCGCTCAGAAGAGTGCCTCGTGCGCGGTGGGATCTGCTGGAGCCTCCGCCTCTCTGTTCCGCTGTGGGTTCTGGCGCTTCCCTGAGTAGGACAACTCGCCTCGACATTACTTCTGGATGGACAGGTGGGGTTCGCGAGATATCAAGACATTACAATCGCCTCAACGACGCGTAACATGCCGCTGCCAAACTTGAGCGGACAAACATGTGAAGTGCCGTGTTCGTCGGCGCAAGGGTCTAGTGTCCAACGAAGACGGTAATGGAAGCCTGCGTAATCATATTTTCTTCTACGAACGCACATGAGTTGCCCATGGGGGCTTGTGCATTCGATGCAGGGCGCTCGTAGTTCGTAGTCTGCTGGGCTCCAGCTGGCGGGATCCACCAGGCTCCTCTGGATCCCTGCAGTCGATCCGCTGGCGTTCCACAGGTTTTATCGTGCGCTGGAGGCGCGGGCCCTGCTGGCCCTCCTGACCGCTCCCTCCTCGTTGTCGTCGTTGTTCTCATCCTCCTTGGGCACACGCACATATGGATTACGGATCCGTGGAGGGGCGCCAGATCCATGGATCGCGGAGAAGGACGCCCTGAAGCATGGCGCCAGTGCCGCCCGCTTTGGCAACGGAGCGCGTCGAATTTGAATGGAAGTGGGGCCCGTCGCTCATCCACGCGCCTCAATCCGTGCTTGCGCTTCCTCGACCATCTCCTCCTCGACCATCTCCTCCTCCCCCTCCCCTCCTCCTCCTCCTCCCCCTCCTCCTCCCTCCTCCTCTCCTCCTCCTCCTCCTCTCCCTCCTCCTCCCCCTCCTCCTCCTCCCCCTCCTCCTCCTTCTTCTTTTCTTCTTCTTCTTCTTCCTCCTCCTCTTTTCCCTCCTCCTCATCCTCCTTCTCCTCCTCCTCCTCCTCCTCCTCCTCCCCCTTCCCCTCCCCCTCCCCCTCCCCTCCTCCTCCTCCTCCTCCTCCTCCTCCTCCTCCTCCTCCTCCTCCTCCTCCTCCTCCTCCTCCTCCTCCTCCTCCTCCTCCTCCTCCTCCTCCTCCTCCTCCCCCCAACGGCGGCGACGACGACTCTCCACGCCTCCCCTCCCCCCAGGCGCTGCGAGCAGCAGCCATCGTGGGCGCTCCTCCAGCACCGCCCTCTCGCGCTCCTGCGCGCGCGCGGCCCTGCCCACGGCGAGGGCAGGGCCCGCGCCGAGGACGTGTGGCAGGGGGGCGCCGCGCAAGGCCAAGCCGGGAACGGCCGCAAGCCGTGCGAGGAGAGGCACGGCAGGCCAGGGCAGTGGCATCCGGGGCGACGCCAATCAGGACAGAAGGGAGGGGGGGAAGAAAGGCAGGGCACGGCGGGGCGGGGTACGGCAAGGCAGTGGTCAAGGCAAGAGCTGAGGCAAGAGCCAAGGCAAGTGCAAGGCGCAGGGCAAGAAGCAACGTGCATTGCAAGGCGATGGGTACCGGAATCTATGCGACACCAGGGGAGGCAGCGCACGACAGGGACATGCAGAATACCCTCACTGAGCTGTGGGAGGGAATCCCCAGAAACCTCGGGATGTCTCTTGGGAAGGTCTGGAAAGCCCCCCCCCGAGCATGTCCCGCAACGCCTCACAGGGCCTCGTCGGTTACCTTGCGATCGCTCGGACGTCCATTCCCCGTGCATTTGCTGGCATCGTGCGTGCCTTTCTCGCCAGATGGTCTGGGATGCTCTTCGGTGGCCCTCGCCGAAAAACGTGCACACGTCTGAGCGATGCCACCTTACTGTTCGGGGCTTCTTGGTGTCCTCTTCGGCCCTCGCGGGTGCGCCAAGGCGAGGCACGGCACGACAAAGCAAAGCAGAGAGCCTCCGCGCCTCGTGCCTCGTGTGGTGCCCCTCTCGGCCCTCCTTGGAGGCAGCGCGCCAGGGCAGCGCGGCAGGGCAGCGCAGGGCCGGGTGAGACACGGCAGGGCACGGGGCCCTCACGACGCCTGTGGGGGCCTCGAGGAACCTCTGGAAGCCTCCTGGAGCTGCCTGGGGAGTCTCGTGGGCCCTCCTCGAGGCCCCCCAGAGGGGCCTCTTGGGCCGCGTGCTGGCGCCCACTACAACCGTCGTGGAGGCGTCAGGGAAGCCTCGCTGGTCGTCTTTACAACCTCCTGGGGCCTTCTTGGGCAATCCTTCGAGACCCTTCGGGCCCTCGACGTCTGGAACAGCCTCGCAGGGTCCTCTCGGCCGTCCTGGGGCACTCTGCAAGACTGTTGACGTCTACGGCCCCTAGGATACAACCGCCACCGTACCCCTGACATCTTGGAGCGTGGTGCACTGCTCCTGTGCTGCCCGCTTGGGTCTGTTCGCTCTGTGGAACGGCAGCTCTGCCATCATCCACCTCTTCCTCCTCCTCCTCCTCCTCCTCCTCCTCCTCCTCCTTCTCCTCATCCTCCTCCTCCCCCTCCTCCTCCTCCTCCTCCTCCTCCCTCCTCTCCTCCTTTTCCTCTCCTCCTCCTCCTCCTCCTCCTCCTCCTCCTCCTCCTCTCCTCCTCCTCCTCCTCCCCCTCCCCCTCCTCCTCCTCCTCCTCCTCCCCCTCCTCCTCCTCCTCTCCTCCTCCTCCTCCTCCTCCTCCTCCTCCTCCTCCTCCTCCTCTCCTCCTCCTCCTCCTCCTCCTCCTCCTCTCCTCCTCCTCCTCCTCCTCCTCCTCCTCCTCCTCCTCCTCCCCATCGCTGCCCCAGGACTGGTCACATCGCTCGGCCGCCAGGCGTCGCCGCGGCGGTGCAAGAGCCCTCCCGGACGCCACGAGAGAGCCCCGCGGCAACGCCCACGGCCATCCCAACAGGGCCATGCGCGCTCCCTTAAGAGCCCCGACGAGGCAAGACGCCTCCCACACGCTTTCCAGGAAGCCATGGGCAACCCAGACACACTGCTGGGCAAGCACAAGATGTACACAACCTGCCCAAACGTTTGACACATCCGAATGACGTTATGTCTACGTTGGGTACACGTGGGGCACCGCTCCGCTTGACCACCACGGACGGCGATGTTTAGTTTAGTGCGCCAAAGCCGGCGCTCCGCTGGGACCCTCAGGAGCCCCTAAAGAGGTGACAGCTGCTCTATTGACAGAACCCTGGAAAGCGAGGCTCCATTTTAATCCAGGGGGGTGGGGGGGGGGCGCGAAGATTGGCTTGGACTGCAGAACACGGCGCTCAGAGGGCGCCTTCAGGAGCGAATGACAGCGCCCTGAAGGCGAGGTGAAGCTTGGTCTGCGTAACGCTGTGCTCCCTACGAGGCCTAGGAAGTGGCGACATGTGCTCGCGTAGCAAAACAACACAGGCTTAGGTCTGTTTTGGTCCACGTTAGACGGCGCTCCGCTGGATATGGCGGGCCCTCCAGGGGCAGAGGACATTTACTGCGGTGATACGTTTGGGAACAACCATAAAACCAAATCTCATTTGAATGCTCGGCGCTCCTCTGGACGTGCCAGGGGCACAAGCCATTGCGACTGTCTGGCAGTTGCCTGTCCAGCAACACCCAGGGGGGCGAGTTGAGCTCGGCGACACCTTCCTGGATATTTCAATTGCACATAGAAAGGCGGGGATATCAACAGTTGCTCAGGCCAAAGCAGAGGGCGACTTGTAGCCTGGTCGGCGTGCGACGGAACCCCGCTGACCTCCAGGGGCACAGGAAACACGGGGACAGTTGTACTCTTGGCAGCACCCAGGGAGGCCGAGGACGATAGATGGGTCTGTGCGTCGCGCCGCCCCGGTGGGCCCCCCCCCCCGGCAGCGCAGGAACCTGAGACTGCTGTGCACCACTCAGGGGCTGAAGCCTGCCTTGACCTGGGTAGCGTGGCACCCCGCTAGAGCCCCAAAGTTGCACGACTTTTGGAAGCGGCTGTGCGCTTGGCACCCCCCAGGAAAGCCAGGACTGCCCGTGCGTCAGCGCTCCGCTGGACCCCCCCAGGGGCGCAGGAGCGCAGTTTTAGGTCGGGCGTCCCCCTGCCGGCGGATTTTGGACGAAAGCTACAAATTATCGTGGCGAAGGACCCAGCAATATGCAGTTGTGAGTGCCGCGTTGTGGGTACCGCTCTCGGTGGAGCTCCCTACGGGGCCACGACCCTCGTGAGGGGTGTGCCGAAATGGGCAGGGGGATACATGCGGACCCTGTCACTAGGGCCTTCGGTGGGGCTCCCTTTGGGGCCACGATCCTTGTGAGGGGTGTGCCGAAATGGGCGGGGGGACGCATGCGGACCCTGCCGCTGGGGCCTTCGGTGGAGCTCCCTACGGGGCCACGACCCTCGTGAGGGGTGTGCCGTAATTGGGCGGGGGGACGCATGCGCACCCTGTCGCTGTGGTTTTCGGCGGAGCTCCCCATGGGGCCACGATTCTCGTGAGGGGTGTGCCGAAATGGGCGGGGGGACGCATGCGGACCCTGCCGCTGTGGTTTTCGGTGGAGCCCTCCATGGGGCCACGATCCTTGCGAGGGGTGTGCCGAAGTGAGCGGGGAGACGCACTGGGGCCTTCGGTGGAGCTCCCTGTGGGGCCACGAACCGTGTGAGGGGTGTGCCGAGATGGGTGGCGGTGCCAGCATGCAACCTGTGCCACTGGGGCCTTCGGTGGAACTCCCCGTGGGGCCACGAACCGTGTGAGGGGTGTGGCAGGACGCTGACGATGGCGATGTTGATGACGCCGATGATGGCGATTGTGATCACGACGATGACGGTGGTGATGGTGATGTCGGCACGCGGAGAGCACAGGCATGGATGGGAGAAGGGAGGAGGGGGAGGAAGGAATGAGGCGGGAACGCGGGGCGCTGTCTCTGCAAAACGAGGACCCAACAACACATGATATCTCGGAACACTGAAGAACCCAAACGTAATCAAACACCGATAAAACATTCGTCCCCAGACTTTTTTTGAATATCTTTAGAGATTCCTCCTGTAGAGGGATACGCCCGACTTGAGCGTAGTGACACGTGCACATCTGGCAGCATCCCCGGGGGGGCGAGATCAAATCAGGCTCGCGTGCGGCGGCGCGGGCCCCACCAACGTAGGTAGGGAAGTACGCGTTTCAATGCTTTGGTTTCGCGCCGTTCTTCGGACACGCCTGCAAGACGCCCTGGTAACCCCCAAAGTCCCACATCTGGCCCCAGCATGGCGCAAAGACACCCCCCAAGACAGCTCAGGATCGTCGCTAAGGTGCCCTGGGACGCCGCTAGACGGTTATGGACCTTCCAAGCCTGCCCCGCCCCGCTCCGTAAACGTCCGCAAGTTACTCCGGGATGGCCCGAAGACTTCCCGCTGATGTAGCCCACGGAGTCAAACCATGGCGTGCAACGCCTGACGAACTAATCCAAGGGCACGTGTCAAGGAGAAGGAGGAGGAGGGGGAGGAGGAGGAGGAGGAGGAGAAGGAGGAGGAGGAGGAAAAGGAGGAGGAGGAGGAAGAGGAGGAGGAGGAGGAGGAGGAAAAGGAGGAGGAGGAGGAGGATGGCGACGCGACGTGACGGCGACGACGGGAACTCATCCGAGGGCACACTGTGGTCCACCTCCTGATGCCCCGTGGCGGCGCACGCGGTGCGGCCGAGACCCCGCGCCAGATGCACCAGTCTCTCGGCAAGTGCCAACTGCTCGCTCGATGCACTTGCCTCGTGCTGCTGGTGAGCGTCTTCTGTGAGTCGGCGTTTCGACATCGGGCGGAAGGGGGGGAGGGGGGGGATTGGGCTCCGGACCTCTGCTGAGTGCTACTGTTCGCGACAGTGCGTCCAATGGGGGAGGCTCCACCTGCTCGAAACAGGCGCCAAAAACAGCCACGATCCACTCCAGGGGGGGGGTGAAGAGGGGGGGGTGCGAGGGCCCGCGCAGATCGGCAAAACAATGCATAAGAAAACGACCACCTGCTAGATTTGCTCCAACATCCGTCTGACCCTCCAATTGACTGCACATTCTGCATTTGGCGGTGGTGCAAACCTTTTCGACCTTTGCGTCCACTTCCGTCGTGGGGCCATCTATGCACATGTACACATCGTTTATTTCTAATCGTGCTCATTTCTAATTGTGCTCGTTTCTATTTGCTCCTGGCCCCCTAGTGGCCAGGAAGAGGCCTAGAATAGAACAATTAGAAATGAAAGGATCTTGGCCCCCCCAAAAAGCAAAGAACATCCGAAACATTAGAAATGAAGAATGTGTAACGCTTCCAGAACTGATGTACAGCTCCTGTGCCTGAGCCCGCCACTTTTCCAAGGTCGGGGTCTTGATGCTTGATGGCACCACGTATGTCCGGCGTGCGATTCCTCCCTGTATAATCTGCCGAGCCAGCGCCAGCACCGCGACGCGCACGTCGAGGAGTGTTTTCCCCGAATGACTTTTGATGTGCTTACTTTTTTTCAAACGTTGCGCGCAGCGTCCCCTGGGGCGCAACCCATCCGTGATGGTAGCTGCGATCAACAGGAAAGGCAGGCAAACAACCCACACATACACATGTACAACTGTATCGTGGCAATGCGCGACTCAATGAGCAACGCGACCGGGCAAACCAGCCGAAACCACCAGGGTCTTCCACTCGCGCCATCTTGAGCCAAAATCGAGAACGAGGAGAAGAGGAGTTCATATCCATGAAATAAGCCCCAATGGGATATGGGATCCTGGGCTCCAGGGCTTTCCCTGGGACAGCTCTTTCATGCTGAATCGTCTTTTGCTGACAGCTCCAGGGCTCGCGAAGGGGGCCGCAGCAGCCGAGAAACGGCGAAGCACCTCCAGGACCCCGGTCCTGCGTGGCGAAGGGCCCAGGAGGGTCGAGGGCCCCTTGAGCGGGGACGCTGATAGCCCATGCCGTTGGCGCGCCCGAGGAGACTCCAGCCGTGGGTCGAAGCACTCTCCAGCTCTTCGTTCTCCCGAAGTGTACGGCAGATTCGCGTCGTGTCGACCCCAGCGTTGGTTCCCGACACCGCGGGGATCGATCAAAATTGAAAGATCGGCCGTTCCGTGAACGCCGGATCGTTTCACTTTTTTGGGGGGGGAAGGGGAAGGTCAGGGAACTCGCAAAGCAACACATCTCTCCAGTCCGACTGCCTGTCGCACGCAGCCCCACACAGCCTGCCGGGCCCGACGCAAAACCCTGGACACGCACAGCGACGGGGCCAATTCTGGGCCACGGGCGGCGTTCAACCTTTTCACGCACGCGGTGGGGTCGCCGCCGGTCGGCATGACGCGAACCTGCCGCAGATTCAAACAATTGCCCGTTCAGGGGGCCTCAGGATGAACGCGCTGGGAACCCGCCAGGCCGCCGTAGTCCGTCCTGGCTCGGGCGCGAGGACGCAGGCTCGCTGTGCAAGACCTGCCGCTGGCGCGCGCTTGCAGTCACGGTCGAGAGGGGGATCGAGCGATGGGGGCCAGGGACAGAGGCAGGAGGAGGAGGAGGATGAGGAAGAGGAGGAGGAGGAACAGGAGGAGGAGGAGGAGGAGGAGGAGGAGTGCAGGAGGAGGAGGGGGAGGAGGAGGAGAAAGAGGAGGAGGAGGAGGAGGAGGAGGAGGAGAAGGACGAGGGGGAGGAGGATTTTTTTTGGTCACCTTGGACCTCACCTCCACCCCTCTCAGTCCCTCGCACGGGCCTCCTTGGCCGCCACACGGGCACGGAGGGCCTCCAGGCCTGAGAGGGGCGACGCGCACGCTGGCGTCTGTTGGGGTCGGGACGCCACGGCATGCGCTCGCGCCTCGACCCTCGTGAGCGGAGCCTCGAGCTCCGCACAAGAAACTGAAACATCACGCTTCGGGTGCAGGCCTCTCCTGAGCCTTCGAAGCGCAGTGGTGCCTGCGCTGCTCCTGTCGCTGTCTCTCAAAGGCCTGAGACAACGTGACGAGAGCAGGTGCAGGCGGTGCTGGGCATAATAACCACAGCTCGTGCAGAAAAACAATGGACTTGATTCGTCCCCGACTTGTGTGCTGGCCAGAACATGGCCGTGCTCTGGTGAGATGGTCAGGAGTTCTTCAACCAATCTGGGGAACCCCTCGCATCCCACCGTGGGTCGGTCGTCCAGTTTACCAGCATAAAACCTGAGGCAATTCGAGCACCGATGGCCCCATAGCCAGGTGTCCCAAGTGTGCCAACCTTCCGCACGCTTAACAACTTTCTGCTTTTTGGCCCGTCTAGGAGGCCGTGTGTGGGTGGCCCTGGGAAAAAGCGGTAAAACCTCCGCGATAATCCGCGCCACCGTTTCGATTCTCTCGATCGATGTCCTAACTTCGACCCACTCGTTTTGACTAGCTTGTGGGTGCAACAAAATCGCTTGCTTGGCTTCATGATCCGCGCGCCTGTTGGCACGACCTATGGACCTCTGAGGCTCTTCTAGCATATCTATAATGGCTGAGTCCCTGTGTGCTGGGGTCCAAACAGCTGGGGCGTACGCATCTCGTTCCATGTGCTGCAGAGCTCCACGCCTGAGACCAGCATACTTTTGTTTGTGACTCAACTGCGACGCCGTGCTGGCATTGTGGAGCTTGACGGCGTTCATACAATCACTGTAGCAGGCTTGCCCATACTTGGGCACGAAAATCGGTAGCAAGGCCAGCTGGAGTTGCTCTGCTGCCTGGCTCGTCTGTGGAAGGCTCGGCCATACTGGGCATTTTGCAATTGCAACCTGCTCTCCGTCCCTTCCCATGAACACCCATGAAAAAGCTGCTCGTGATAGATCTCGAATCTGGTGCGGAAAACACGACCCGTCCCCCGCCACATCCAAATCCGTAGCATCGAAGTCCGCCCAATCCACTCTCCGACCCTCGGCACTATACAGATACGGCTCGTGCTGGTCGGACATAGGCGGCATATCTTTGACAGCGTTGACAAACTTTAAATCAGCGTAGAAGTCCTGCTCCCCTTCCCTCACCCACTGAATGAAGCTGTCCTTCACCCCCGTACTAGTCCTAGCCGCCGAGACCTCGGGGCTGTTACAAAAGTAAATCCTATGGGTAACAGAATCAGGCTCCCCGCACAGCGGGCAGCAACCCGTCGAATGGTAACCCGCCTGCTGCGCTCGATCCTCGGTCCAGAGCCCGTCGCAGAAGGCCGTTTTGACCAAGTACTTGCCTTGGGCATTCAGTCCTATGCCTCGGAGTCTGGGCTGAGTGATACGTCGCAGCGGCTCGACACAAACGCGATCTCCATTAGGCCATCCGAGCTTCTGACCCAGGACCCGCTCGTGGTGCCTTTGCACCCCTTCTTTTAAAAGCGCAGAGATCATGGCAGGGGAGTTGTAAAGCAGGCTCAACTCGACTCCCCTATCGTCGATCCAAATCAAAAACGAAGTCGTTTTCCACCCGATGCGAAAAAGCGACAACATCATCCGACTGATAGGACCCCTCGTCTTCCCCCATTTCCACCCCTCGATTCCTTCCTGGGAGATGGAGTCCCACATGCTGCGAAGCTGGGGCAACGTGAAACTGGCCGTGCTCGGCGCCGTCGTGGTGCTCCACACAGCGGCTGCCCATGCGAGCGCAGGAGCAACCATGCTCCTCCACATCGGGCCACCTAACAGGGCAGTCTTGGCTGTGAGAGAAACCCTCCATGACACGGCGCCTGATAAGAAAGCATCACACCACGCGCACGCTTAAGTTCAGCGTCGGACATGCCAGTCACCGTGTCACCAAAACTGACCGCGGGTTTAACACCAGCAGTGTATATCTTGCCGATTCTATGTTTGTCCCTCGGCAGCGCTTTCCTATACCTCTGGAGCCTTCTGCGTCTACGAATCATGCCCACAACTCGGGCCTTACGTTTACCAAGCGCTTGCTTGGTGCTGCGTTTCACCCCAGGAGCCAAATCCACCCCGAGCGAGACCACGTGGGTCCCCACCGTCCCCGCCAGCGTTCCGAGCCTGCGTCCGACACGCAGCGACAGTTCGAGGGTGGAGCCACAAGTCATGAGTTTATCGGGGGCCAAACCAACACCTAAATCTTCTTTGAAGACACGTTCAAGATCCTCGGCTGCCTGGCCGAGCACTTTGACAACATGATCCGCCGCGCCATACGCGCTGACGGCGTCGTCGTCGACGTACGAAGCAAGGTCCACCGCAGGATTCCTGGCCACGAAGCCGCCGAAAGGGACCATAGCGTAAACTTTAACGTTGATGTCATTCAGGCAGGATCCTGCTGGCAGCCCACACTTCGCGTGCACCGGAGAAAGGCTGTGGTCCGAGCCCAGCCGCAAAACTCGAGGCCCGCGCCAAACATTGTAGGTCACCTTGACCACGGTGGGGTCGAGGCCAGCCTGCAGGGAACGATCCCTAAGCGTGGTGAGCCTGAACGACTCGTAGTACTTGGTGCCGTCCCAGGAGAAGCCTCCCGTGGCACCCCCTTCGGCCACTTGGGCCTCAGCTTTGACCGCCTGCTTCCATATCTCCGCCTCCGCCGACTTCCCCGCCACGAACGCCCAATACTTGCGAGGGCGCGCGTCGCAATACGGAAGCAACTTCGGTCGCCTGAGCTTTTCCCACAGGCGCACAGGAGAGGCACACAACAGGACAGGACGCAAACCCCCTTTTGGCTTCTCGAGGAGGGGGAAGAGCATCCAGTACAGGGCCTTGGGGTAGACCCCTATCTTTTCAACCGTTTGAAAAAGACAACTGAGCACCTCGAGCCCCGCGTCGGGGAGCAGGCTGAAATGCCGCACATGCATACCGTCGAGCGACTGCGCAGTGCGTGGTGAAAACCCTCTGCTGGCAGCTCGAATGTCATCAGGCTTGAGCCTGTCAAAACAATATCTGTCAAGAACCTCCAGAGGTTCTGGCATGGACGTCGCTTCCCAGAACTTGCCTAACACGTTGGCTTCATTCGCGAGCAACTTACGCGGGTCGGCCGAGTAAATCCCAGGAGCAGTTTCGATGACGGTTGGCATCCAAGCACTTTTGTTCCGAGTGAGTTTATGCATCTTGCGAGCGGATCCACTGAGGGCTTCCGCCTGCCACTGGTCCCAGCTCACCTTAGCTTTATTGTCAAGGCCAGCTCGAGCTTCAGCAGAATCCTCCTCCCAATCGTCCAGCGCTTCCGTGCATCGATCGATCCACCCAGACAGATTAATCGCTCGCTGAGGCCAAGACTCCGCCAGGCGGCGGGCAACTTGCACCGTGGCGTCGAGCCGCACAGCTCGGCCTTCAGCTTCAAACGGCTGCTGAACTATCTGTACTAAGTTTCTGCAGGCCTCGAGCTCGGCGTGGTCAACGAAATCGACCGCCTCATAAATACGAATACTTGTCTGTTGAAGGTCTCGCATGGTCTGCTGAAGCCAAATCCACCCTTCCCAGACTAAAACCTCATCCTCGACCTTCCTCTTCGGGGGGGAGGCAATCGAAACCCACTTAGCACACAACGGCTTGCCCCTGCCCCCTCTGGTCTTTAACGTCACCCCCACCAAATTTTCGAGCTCAATTTCCATGACATCCGAAAACCGTTTCCAGGCCTCATTCAGCAGCGACCGCGCACAAGTGACAGAAGCACTGCTGGCGTACATGTTGGCCTCCTCAGCCAAAGTCCTGGCAAATCTCAAACGGACCAAACGGGACCTCACACGGAATACGTTGGTGGGTTTGATAAACCAGCTGTTTGAGTTGAATCGCACCTTGCTTAAAAATAAGCTGCACTGGCCGATGAGGTCGCTTGGGCCAGTCCTTCACAACGTCGGTCTTGTCAACCATCTTGGCTACAGCTGGGGACACCACGAAGAAGTCGATCCGCGAGTGAGCCTTCGACGTCACACAGGTTTCGATCTTCGGTTGGAGGATCAACATATCGGCTTTCCTCAACATCCCCGTGAACTCGATTATCGTGGGTCCCAGGTTCCAATCGGCCCCGAATATGGCCATGTGGTTCCCCTGGAGCGTTTCTCCGATCATTTTGAGCAACTCGAGGTTTCGCTTCGACAGCCCCTCCGTGGTGTACAAATACGCCACGCCAGCCAAAATCGGCGGCCATCCTGGTATGTCTAAGATCGCGAAGAGGAGCCGATGTTCAACGAGTACCCCTCGCGGCAAGTGTGACGGCCAACGAAGTCCGATACTCGTCCTTGCAAAAATAGCTACTCCCGCCGACGCCTGCCCCGCATCGCAGGGTACCGAAGGTGTGCAGAGCATATGCCATCCCATACCAAGAGCTTTAGCAGTTTTGTCACCAACATCTTCGGCCGTGATCCCAATCTCCTGGGCCATCAAAACCAAGGCTGAACTCCTCGCAAGACGTTCCGAGAGCGTGCCCCAACTGTTACCGTTGTGGGACTCGCACACAAACTGGAACTTATCAGCCGTAACATCATCGGCAATCGGAGTTGGCGGACAGCCTGACCCCATGGCC